GATGCGATATGGGGAAAGCGCTATATTGTCAAAGATGCCATTAATCATTCAAAGAATTAGATTTTCTTCCCAAAGGTTAGGAACATGCAGCCCTCAAATCGTAAAGGGAGGTTTAAAGTGACATTGCCACTTTAAGATTTTCATTTAGATGTAATTAATTTCAACTGTTATCATTGTGTCATTTTTGTGTCTTCTAGATACCCAGCACAATAATATGCCAATTTCCTGTGAAGGTCCATTATAAAATCCTGATCGTTTATTTGTATTTTGGCACTATAGATTGCCTTGTGGATTAGGGTTAGTAAGAGGAAGTGTTATCACTGCCTATCATCAAACTTCACTGCGTCTTCATTGAGCTCATCCCATATCTCAGGAGATACTTTTAATAAAGACCAAAGCCATAGTATTGGGTGTGAAAAAGTAATTTATGGAGGTATGATGGATAACGTTACAAACACAAGTTTGAACAAGGGCACATTGGAACACAGACAAAATAGGCAATTATCCATCTCATTCTTTTTCTACAATCATCATACAACACAATGAGAATGGAGTTATTGACTAATCTTGGCAATCATAAGCCAAAAGATGCAACTAAAACTTTAAGGTGGACAGCTTGGGTCCAAATTCACCTTCTCCCCATCCCCTCCTAAAGCATTCTACCCAGCATGTGTCATGTCTCTAATTGTTCATATGTTATATCACAAAATGTTATTCAAAAATCAACTCAGTCATGATGCTTGCCCATGACTGAGTGAATTATCTTGATTCATTATTTAGGTTCAGGCTTGAAAAATGGGCACTTCGCTAAGGCAATGTAGGCACTTGTGGAACTAAGTGTGAGTCAGCAAGTCAAAGGGACAATGGTTTGTTTAAAAAAAAATTAGCGGAATTGGTAAAACCTGTTCTAACTTTACCACTTCGTCAATACCTTTCTCTTAGCCCTTTTGATTTTGGTGGTGAATCTATCTTCTTGTCTTGGACCACTTCATCTTCTCCAACCTTTTCAGCAGCTTTGTCCGCATAGTACAGATTTTGCTATATGAAATAGTGAAGTGGTTTTACAGTCATAGAGATCTACAACACCAAAAAAAGCCCTTCAGCTCATCACATCCACGCCAGAATATTGTGTTGAATAAATGAGTAAAGTTGGCCTTGAAGCTATCAGATTGTCATAAAAACCTAACTGGTTCACTAATGTCCTTCAGGGAAGGAAAACTACCAAATCTACGTGCTAATCATCCCTACATCTCTAATCTCATAGCAATGTGGTTCTCCTTTAAAGGACCCATTCAATTAAGGGAAAAAAGGGACAGACAATTAACAATGACATCACTGGGATTAGTATTTTTTGCTAAAATAAAAACAAGACTTGAATTTTACATAATGCTTCATGACCTCAGTATGTCCAAAAGTACTTCATATCCAATGAAGGGGAGTCACTGATAGTGTAGGGAACACAGCAACCATTGTGTACACAATAATGTGATACAGACCAGATAATCTGTTTTAGGCATGTAGTTGAAAGATAAATATTGGCCAAGGTTCCAGAGAAAACTTCTCTCCTCTTCTTCAATACATGGCTATGGGGTCCCTGACTTTATTTAATAAAGACCATAAAGCAAGGACCTATGTTAAAATAAAAACTATTATAAATCACTGGTTAGATTGCAATGAGAGCACTGTGAACAATCTGATCACTACAATTTAGGAAGGATGTCAAGGCCCTTGAGAAGTTGCAGAGGGGATTTACTTGAATAACACCAGCGAGGTAGAAAATTCAGTAATGTGGAAAGAAAGGCGAAACTGCGATTATTCTCTTTTGAGCAGAAAGAAAACTGAAAAACTTGCATTTATACAGTGCCTTTCATGAACATAATGTTTTTTGAAGTGTCATCAACAGGGGCAAAAATAATCTTTTTCATGCATCCTCTTGCAAATTTTCCAAGGGCTACTTTGTGATTTTTGGGACCAATTTTTATTTTTCATTTTTGGGGGTTCCATTCTCATTCTCATTAACCTATTCATTAGGTCATATACTGATGTAGTAACAATACTATCTGTACTTGTGTTGCAATATGGGGGATTCAGACTCACATAAAAACAGAATTAGAAGAATTCATCAACATCCTCAATAATCATCACTGCTGCATGAAACTTAAAGCCACAACACACAAGGAAAACATTAATTTTCTAGACACCACAGAATTTAAACCTGCACAAGACAACAGACATATGTTAGCAACAATTTTTTTCATGGATAAATAACTGACGCACACACTTCGAGACAGAAAAAGCATTACCCTAAACACACTATCTGCCAGTACTTGAGGACACAGCGAACTGGTTGTATGATTGTCTCTAACACAGTCATTGCACCTCAAGTAATTCACAGTATTTGAGATGCTTTGTGATGTGGTAACAGATAAATGCAAATCTTTATGAAATACAACTGTTCAGTATTAATTTATCCAGTGACACAGTTCATTGCAATAGTGTCATGACATTTATCCTTGATTCTGTAGCTGTTGAACTCCTGCTGCTTAAAGCTAGACAGTTCGTATTGATTGGTAAGAAATTCATTACCTCAGTATTTCTTGTTCCTAGTGAGTTTTTTTTTGTTAAAATGTTTAACACTATTCTCTCTCCTTTGCTGGCCCCTTTACACTTTGTATATTCTCCTCTCACAATCTGCTCTCACTCTCCTTTGCATCCCATCTCTTTTTACCTCCTCACTCTCCTTCAAAGCTCCTTACTTCCTGTGAAGGCCCTCTCCCTTCTTTTGTAGCTCCCCACTCCCTTTTGCAGCCCCTACTCTCTTCGCTGCCCCTCCTGTTGAGACACCTCTCTCCTAGTTTGAAGTCCCTCTCTGCTCTTTGCATGCTGAATTCCACCCAGGCCCCCAGCCCCATGATGCCATCCGAGCCCCAATCTCCCTTCATTTCTCTGTCCAGATCTTGAATTCTATCAGTTACTCAACAGCCTGTGATCCTACTACCTCCAGCCACAGCAGCCTTGCTCACCGCTGCTACTTACCTTCTTCCTGCTGCTCCAATCATCCTCTACTTCTATACGCTCATTGGTGATAGGCTCATGATGGATCTATCAATGAGCCTATTAGCTTGTGAGAGAGATTGAGCTTGTGAATGGAGGAGCAGCTCGTCACAGATTCTGACATTTCCATGTCTGGTGCCAATTATTTTCTCATTGGTTAACCTCATGAATTAATTTTGCTGCATGTTTTGGTAACTTGTGGGGAGAATATGCCCATGTCCCACTGTATTATGAGAGTATGGTAATCAACATTGTAATGTTAGAAATGTGGCAAACTGCACACAGTGAGTTCCCATAAACAACAATGACCAGATAACCCGCTCTCATGATGTTTATTGAGTGACAAATATTGGCCAGGACACTGGTGATAAGACTCCTGCTGTTTTTCAAAGTAGTGCCATGGGATTTTCCACAAGCATTGGAGAGACCGGATGGCGCCTTGGTTTTATTTTTCACCTGAAATTATGTGCCTTTGACTCCCTTAGTACTGCACTGCCAACCTAGATTGTTGTGTTCAAATCTCTGCCTTAAAGTTTAAAACCTTCTGCCTCAGAGGCACTGAGAATGCTACCAACCGGACTAAAGCTCAATAAAGGCTAATAGAAGATGGAGGAAAGGGGTGTTAAAATTATTTAGGGTTTTAATGGAGTTAGTAAAGTGAAACTGTTTCTACTGGCGTAAGAGTCATAATTAGAGCACATAAGAACTAAGGGAAGCATGGACTTAAAACTTTAATTCTACTTCTCACGGATGAGACCTGATCTTTTAAGGATTTTCAACATTTTCTGTCCACTTCAGTTTTCCAGAATCTGCAGCATTTTGATACAAGATGCAAGGTGGTCGCTGTAAGAGCTGGGAGTGAAATAAGAGAAAAATGTTTAAATTGAGCAATGCAATGTATGATTTGGATTGCACTACGCCTGAAAGCATGCTGAAAGCAGATTGAATAGCATGTAGATTGTTCAGAAGGGAATTGGTAAGAACGAGAAGGGGAAACCATTAAAGGGGTCTGGGGAATGATCCATGGAGTATTTTATAAAAGTGCTGGCACAAGATGGAATCTTCCTTCTATTTAGTAACTGCTACACCAGACAGCACATTAACCTATGGAGCAATAATCCTTGCTTGCAGCTATTCTGTGACAACCTCATCTTTTATTTTTATAACACTAGCATCAGCCATAAGCTCTGCTTTAGCAGGTGTGATGCTGAGTTTAGAGATAAGAAAATATATCCAGTGAGAGAATTTACCTTGATAAAAGCATCACAACAAATAATCTGCTTAGAACAGATGACCCATCAATTCAGAATAGTCTTAAAGATTCCCCAAATTATTTTACACTGCCAATTGCTTGAAGTCTCACGCATCATCTCAGGCTTCCCTATCAAGCACCAGGCTTATTAAGGCTCACTGTAAGGTTAGAAACCATTGCAATAACCAGTCCATCAGCTAATTAGAGACAACAAGGTGCAGGGCTGGATGAACACAGCAGGCCAAGCAGCA